CACGGTAGATTGCAGGGCCCGCATGAGCTACCCCCCCCCCCGGCTTTGTAGATTAAAGAATTATGAACTCCTGAAGTTTTGCAATATTAATGATTGCAGCCATCTGTTAATCTGGCAGCCAGCAACAAGCTGCTTCGTTACTTCGCTTAGTCCAGTTATGAAAACCGAGCATTTTTGGTTGGGCAGGAGGAGCGCGACTCCTTTGTGTCCCCGTGCCACGACTTGTGTCCTCTTCCTTCTCGCCGTTGTTTAGGTCCGAAAGCAAGGGGAGAGGAGCTCCCCTGGCAGGGGCTGGCCTGCAGGCAGGGAAGGAGATGCTGGTGGGATGGAGATGCTGGTGGGATGGAGATGCTGGTGGGACACACGCAGCCCAGCGCCACGCCGCACGGGACCCAGGGTCGGGGACTGCACCAGCAACGAGTCGACAGCCCCCACCGCCCTGCCAAGCCGTCCCTGGGAGGCAGGGGGTCTGCCCTCAGCGCCGGCTGCTAATTATGCCTCTCTTTGGGATGGTATTTTAGAGAACTCCGGTGCGCACTCCGCAGGGATAAACTCATTTAGCAGGTTAATTAGTGTCCTTGGGAGAAAGCACATCAGCGCCGTGCCGGCCCGCTCAGCAGACGAGGCTGGGGAGCGTCGAGGCAGGCGGAGGCAGCGCGGTTGGGGATGGCCCCGTGCCTGACCCCAGCTCTGAACTCAGCTCCTGGGAGTTTTATTGTCCAAACCCACCCTTGCTCCCCGTGGCTGAGGGGCTCAAGCTGCCCGCTTCACCTCCGGCCTCCAGCTCTAGCCAGGTCTCTGCCTCAGTGGCCAAGCTTACCCTGTTCCCCGCCTCGGGCAGCGCTGGCAGAGCCACCCGGGTTTACCAGCAGTTGGTTTGTTCGTGCCGAAATATCACCCCGAGACCACCCCCTGGGGCCTGGAAGCCAGTGGTTTATCAGCAGCGTACTCCAGACCCCCCCTCCTGATACACATACTCAAAGCACGTCTGCTCCCCGCTGACCCCAGGCGGTACTTTGGGGCCCTGGGCTAGATGATGGCAGTCCCAGGCCAGACTTCAAGCACCTGAGACAATCTCACTCTTTTCAGATGAAATTTTATTTTCCATACAAGCACTTACAAATGTTTTATTTATGGTTTGGCAGGGGCAGCTGTACATACACTTGCTAAAACAGCAGAGTTGTTCGCTAAAATACAATCGTTGGCTGAGACAGCTCCAGGTGCCCATTTTCCTCTCCAAAACACGCGTTTCAATTTTTAATGAGCTCCGTTCAGCTCGGTTATACCTGCAGCAAAGCAGACGAGATCAGCCTTTAGTTTACCTCGGGGTTATACTAGTCATAGCGCCAGGGGAGCAGGAGGAGGTTTTGCAGTGTGGGTGACTGCAATGGCTCTACCTGTCTACCCAACCCCTGCCCAAAGTCAAGAGCAGATCTTCAGAGAAAGTTGTCTTCTCATCCAGGAAAGGCTGTATCCTTAGGTAGGGTATAATCCTCACGATAAGGGCTGCTATAATTCATTGCAGTTCAGCAGCAGATAAATAATGGATAGATATGCTATTCACTGACAGTAAATAAGCCGTTCCCAGCCTTTCCTTGTGATGGTAAATCCAGGCTCGAAGGGGCAACGAGACACCTGCCCTTGGCTGCTCCCTCTCCCTCCTGGGCCCGGCCCTGCACAGGCGCCATCGCAGTCCAGGCCCAGGCCAAGCTCAGGCCAACTCGAAGGGTGTCGCTGTGCTCCGAGGCACAGGCGCGGTGACAAAGCACGGTGTGACAGTGGCATGCCCAGGGACTAACCCCAGGGATTCTCCTGGGGAGGTCAGAGCAGGAGCCTTCAGGGCTGCCCAACCTCCCAGAGCCCCCACAGGCCGAGGGGAGGGCGGGAGGAGGGCAGAGAACACCCGTGGGGCACCCATGTGTGGGGCACCCACACGGCAGGTTGGCGGCCGCAGCCTCCTTTCCCCTCTTCTTCTCCCCCTCAGCCGTACCAGGACCAGGCACCTTCTACACCCAGGCAGAGGAGGCGAGGAAGACGGTGGTGTTCGGAACCCACAACAACACCCTCTCTCAGGAAGGGGGATGAAACACCCCGGTGTCTCTTTGGGAGCACAGACCAGGAGACACCCCGTGGCCAGCCCTGCCACTGATCCACAGAACCAGGTTCTTCGCTGACCTCTGCTTGGCCTGGCTGAGCTCCCACAGCACGAGATAAAGGTACAGCAACTGTTTAAACAACCAAACCAAACCCAACCCCACAAACCAACAAAACAACCCCCCTCCCCCAAACCCGCAAGACACCCAAACCAGCACTGACAACAGAACGACAGAATTCCTACAAAGTTTTACTTAACACGGTGTTGATTTAGACACATGTACAGTTTGAGAACTCAAACAAGAGCGTGGCTTGTTTCGGGTAACAAAAGCTGCAAAAGCCACTGAAAGCCTTAAATGTGCAAAATACAGTTCTTCGCATATTAAGATTTGCCCCCCAGCTGCCAAGCCGCTGCTGACAGGTATCACAGCAGGGCAAAGGAGAGTATAAACCAGGCCAGAAATATTCCCCTATTTCTACCTCCACAGTCCAGAAGTTAACTTGTACCCTTACCACTACAATAAGGATTTGAGAAACCCACAGAGCCACCGCCACCCGTCTAACAGTCACCTACTGCAGAAAATAAAAACAAAGCCCCACAACTACAAAACCCTTAAAACTATTTTTCCTTTTTTTTTTTTTTGGATTTAACAAACAAAACGAGCCGTTCACCGCATCAGGCCTTCCTGAATCGGCTTTCCTGAAGGCAGTAAGAAAGTTTCACCTAACGTCCTTCAGCCCCAGGAGGGGTTTATACGTTATGACGACACCCTGAACACAGGAGGGTGTGCCAAGAGCCCTCGAACACGTGCTGAGTGCCCCTGCGGGGAGGCAGCTCTCCTTTTTTTAGCTCTTGCTCTCCCAGCGGTTGCGCTGCTGCAGACATCTCGCCCACAGCGCATCCGTGCAACGCAACAGCAGTAAAGACTCGCAGTGGTTTTATTTCATTTATGTTTCTGTCCCTTCATTCCACTCCCGACAACATCTTTCTGTAGAACAGGTTTGGGGTTTGGTTTTTTTTTAAAAAAAACCAAACAAAACCCACGACTTCAACAACTGCTTAACACATGGTCCTACGAGAAAGGAAGTTTCCCAAAGACGTCTGCTGAGACACGGCCGCTGGTCACCACCTGAGCCCGGGACCTCGTTTTGGATTTGTCTGAAGTCAGTTTTTAGCTGGATGTTTTTGGAGAGGACAACCGAAGCAGAACATGAGGGACTCCAGGAAGAGATGGTTCAGATACAGACAAGGTGGAGGATATTCCTGAAGGTTTTGCCAAGCTACAGTTTTTCAAATATGTTCATGAACTTCAAGATTTCGTGATGAGCTGCGGTGCCAAGGGGCAGGTGCCTTAATCCCTGGGCAGAGAAAAAAAAATAATCAGTTAGCATGCTTCTTTTTTATAACAAATGACACTGACCTACGATATATTTACTACCTCACAAATCAAACGATGTATTTAAATATCGAGCTAGCAATAGAGTTATCATTGCTCTGCTTGGTTGTTAAATTCCAAAATACAGAGATACTCACCGCATTGTGAAAGAAGTTGCCAAGATGCTTTGCCCACGGACACCTGAAAACCAGACACAGGTTCTTAACTCACTGCCTCGTAGGGACAGACCCGCCCGCGGCTTCCGCCGCTCCGCGTTTTGCCTCACTCAAAGCTTTACACGAAGCGAATCCAGCAATTCCCTTCCAAACGGAGGCGACTTCAGCCTCAGATGTACAGTAACATAATTAAGAGAGACCGTAAGAAACAGGATGGACCAGATTCTCTCGGATCCGAGCTCGCTGTAAAGCCTCGCACCCCAAAAAAAAAAAAAAAAAGACAATTCACGGAGCTGCAAATTCATCAAATACAGCCCAGCTCACACCGAACCGAGTGAAACGAGGCATTTTGTTTTCTCGGCTCCCCACAGCAAAGGCTGGGGAGAAGAAACAGACCGAAGCATTTCGCCACGAAGGTCGACCGACACGTCCACGATTCCCACCCAAGACAGTTACCGAGAGGTGAATTCTCAGCGTTACTCTGCCGCCATCAGCTACGTGTGGACTGAAGAGCAGGCCATCGCTCTGCCTTCCGACACGCCGCCACAGAGTCAGTTAATTTTAAAGCTATCATGTCAATACACTGAAGTCGATCGCTCTAAAGCCTGTATCGCTTCACTGCACACCACAGGGCAGCACGGGTTACCAACAGCTAGCGGCTTCAAAAACGGCTCCTCAGGGTTTTATCACCACTTGTAATCTAAAGAACGAACTCAAGCCTTGCTCAGAACCTTTTCCCCCACCCACTGAAGGTTCGTGCTGCTGCAGAGCGAGGGGCCTCTCTCCTTTACACAAGAGGATCAGGCTGACAGGCGCAAACCCAGCGCTGTCCTCGTTACAGCGCACAGATCTTCCCAAATCTTTTGGGTTTGGTGGGGATCTACTCCCTCACCACCACGCGGAGTATTTCTTACAAGTTTAAAAGAAACACTGACATCTATACACCCATTGGGTTCTTGTAGGTACACAATAATACACATTTCAAGCTACTTTCAACTATTTTCTCTCTAAATAAAGTTTTATGCGGTATTATGCCTCCTTAGAGTCCAGTAACTACTTTGCTGTAAGCCCCAGTTAAGGTTTTTTTGGTGGTTGTTGATGACAACGATGTGTCAGTAGTAATAGAACCAGACTGCACTGGGAAGCGAGAAGGCCATTTGGTGGGGGCAGGTACCAGAACAATTTCCAATCTACCCAAAACATCGTGTTCAGGATCTTTACCGCTGCTAGGAACAGGGAAGAACGAAAAACAAGAATGAATTCTGAGCTAAGACTTAATTAGGAGAAAGCTACCATCAGTGTTGCAACCCATAATGATCTCGTGTTTGGCTGTGGTGAAGGTTCCCACTTACATATGCAGGTTCTCTGCGATAATATTCAGCGTGAACAGGCCAATGGATTGCATCTTCTTGTGTCTGCACGTCAGGAATAGGCAAAGGAATTCACTCACGTACTGGGGACCAAGGTTTTGCCACCTAAGCAACACAAAAACCAGGAAACAGAACGCAGCTGTTCAACAGACAAAACCTCCCTGCTGATCCCCAGCACCTCATCTGCATTCTTGACCTCTCCAAAGCCCTGGGCTGGCTGGTTTCAGGGAGCTGAGGATTAGATCTCTGCTGCAGAGCTGCTCTCACCATTTCCAGAAACGGAGAGACTCCAGGGAGCAAGTGTCTACTCACAGTTTTAGCATTGTCGCTTTCTGGCGACTCAGATCTCTCAAAATCAGGTTGACTGTGCCATGGAGAACGTGTTCTTCATAGGAAAGATGTTCCAGCAACAGCCGCAGAGCCCAAAAGTTATTCTAGGAAGAGACGAAATAAGACCAGTGATTTAACCTAATTGCCAATCACTTCTTAAAAACAGAACAGAGTGGAGGTCAGCAAAGCTAAAGGGGAACAAAACCAAGTTCACCACGTCTAAAATCTCCAAGGTGGCATTACACAGCTTTTAAATGTAAGTGGTTTTAACCTCTTAGAGCAGAAATCAGTATCTAGGACTCACCCCAAAAGCCAGGGCTATCTCTAAGAAGGAAGTCAAGTACTGAAGATCACAAAAGAGCATCTGTTGTACTGCTTGCACTGCCAGAATAAGACAAGCCTCATGGTGCAGCTACAGGAAGAGACAGCAACAAGAAGACACACTTGTAAGCCCACTTTCACACTACTTGTATGTTGTGTCCAGCACCAAGTTACTACAGAGACAGGCTGGGTGTCAGACACAACATCCACAGGAATCTTAAGACGACCAAAAGCCGGGGGAGTAGAACAGGTACTTCATTTATACAGCATGTTTCCCCTGGTGCTCTCACAGAAACGTGAAGTCTCACACTGTCACAGAAGCAGAAGGATTAAAGGGAAAAAAATTCCTGGCCCAGGAATCACATATTTAGAGAGTAAGCTAAATGTCATTGCCTCACAAGAAGTAAAAAAAAGAGTAAGACAGCTCCTTAGGGGTACTGACCATATTAAATACAGTCAATACATTCCAAGCCATCTTTAAACACGTCCCATACACCTGAAACCACCATTCAAAACAAGTCCAGAAATTCCGGGCTATTCAGAGTTTTGAGACAAACACCTTGTCCAGTCTCAAAGGACAGTCTCCAGTTGGATTCAAACGACACAGGGCTGCCCTGGGAGAAGATAAGGTAGACTCAATTATTACCGACCCTCCTACTTCACAAGTAAATCTGGACAGTGATGAAGTAAGGCTTGTCCGAGGTTTAAGATGGTGTCAGACCAGAACAGACCCTAGAGCTTTCTTGCCTTCAGATACCTGCTCTAGCCTTTAGACTGTGCAAAGAACGGTCTTACGCTGATTCCCCCTGCAAAATCTTCAAGCCCCCTCTTAAAAGCTTTTCATAGCAATCTGTCCAACACTGCTGTGCCTTCAAGCACGATGAAACAACTAGAACATTTCCTTATCGCCATGTGCACGCTTACCTGAGGAGCAAAAATAGCAGGTGGCAAAGAAACATTGATCTTTGCCTTCAGTTCCTCCAAAAGGCCACCACTGGCAGCGAGCACCCCCTGCAACAGAAGTAACGAGCCACAGGTAAAGGGGAAGGATGTCCAGATACTCAACAAACATCAAACAGTGCCCGAGATGGTTCTTTAATGTGCTTTTACTTGTATTTTCAGCATTTTTTACAGAGGAGGTTGACTGTTCAACATCAAAGCTGAGGCTCTGCAGCACTAACCAAACCATCCCACATAACCTCTTCATTTTAACCTCCTACGCTTAGCAGACAGCGGTTTCTGCTCTTGGGAAGAACGTACCCAGATACCGACTCTTTAGGACTACCTAAACACAGTTTTCTTGAACTGCTTTCCCATCCACTTTGTTCTCTGATCCACCTCAACATTAAGAGATCCAGAATCAGTATCAGGCACTGAGCTGCAAGCAGTGTTAACCCGTTCACTGCTGCATTTAACGCTCCTGGATGACAACGTGCTGCGGACGTTGGGGCACGGCCCACAGGGCGTTTGCCAGGCTGACCTTCGCGCTTAGGAGGAGCGGCCAGCGCCCACGTCAAACGGAGTCTCGTATAAACCCAAGGCAACAGATTCTCCCGTTGCACAGCCCCGTTTCCGTTACCTTTTGGAAGTCAAGCGGCGGCTCTTTCAGGGATAGGGGATGCAGGTGCCCACTTTTTTCCAGCAGATTGCTACTACCCAAGATCATGATGAAGGAACTCCAGCATTTAGGCTGGAACACAGCAAGAACATTGGTTTTACCACGACAAATCTGTTCAGAAGCGTAAACTGTTCAGAGAGAGAAGGGTTCTGACAGTAAGTCCTTGCTTTAGAGAAGCAACGGGACAAGACAGGTCACAGACAGAAACACCCGCTGGGCCACAGAAACGGTTTTAACACAGACTCACATTCCTGTAGAGCGACACGTTGCTGTAAAGGAGCTTGAGCGCCTGCTTAATTAGAACCCCGTCCTTCAAGGGAGTCCCTGCAAGAAGAAAAAACCCAAACCATTTCTTATACTCCCTGAAAAACTACAGGACGTGAACTCACAAAAACCCCCTAACTTCGTTACAGATAGGGTTGTACAGAAACCTAACAAAGAGAAGCAAACAAATGCCTTCTCAACGACAACATTTTATAGGCTCTGAACAGAACAACATCATCAACTGTAAAAGGCTGCTCTGGAAAGCTGCAGAGCGCCGAACACAGCTTGGCCTAAGCGGTCACAGGGCAGAGCCTTCACAGCGCACAGCACAGCGCGACGCACGCTGTCAGAGTCTCACACACCGCCGAATTCTACGAGTGGCTGAGCATCTCCAAAAACAAACCTGTCATTTCAGCTCGACGAGCAGCACGCACCAAGACAGGGGATCACAGTTACCAGGGGCTAAACTAGTGACAGAAGGCAACACCCAGATCGTGAAACCCTTTCCACCAGGAAGCTTTTACTCTCAAGGTCAAGGCTGAGACATCACCACCATGGTAAATCATACGCTGCCAGGATGTAAGAGAAAGCTTTGTATTTTCTTTGAATAAGCAGCTTGCAGCAAAGCAACTTCACAGCTGACAAAACTGGTGTTTTGTGTGATGTGTACTACACAAATTCATGCCTAAATATAAAGACATTCTTCCTACCCGGCGTTACACACCATGTTTTAGCCCGGACATTTGGTAGCTGGGTTCAGGGCCCCTCAGAATGTTGCTAGATTGGGTTAAAAAAAGTAAACGCTGGGATTAAATAAGGTTCTAAACGTAGGTAAGCAAGAAATCACACTTGCCCACTGTAATCCAGGGCCCAGAGTCTAGCATATCGGTTCCAGTGGGGACACTGCCTGTTCTGAACATCTTCAGGTAGACCTCGAACTGCAGCGGCGTTATCCGGCAGGCAGTGCAGCAGGAGAGGCTGTTGATGGGAAACAGCAGCGAGTGCGCAGCGTCCAGGAAGTCCCCAGTCTTACACAAATAGAACGGGATTTTATCTCGAAGGTCTCTCAACCTGGAAAGAAAGGAAAATTTGATTTTCATTAACATAAAGGTCTTACACTAAGTACAGCTCTGGTAAGGCAGAAGTTAGCTGCACTGCAGCATTGCTTTCACTCGGCAGCCAGCTGCCAAAACCTGACTGGCTTTTCATTCTGCCAGTTTATTACACATCGAAGCGACGGGCTGAGACACAGTCTTAAGGCAAAGCAACAGTTTCAAAGAGGGGAAAAAAGCCATTTACCCTTTGGCATGATTGCACTTCACAGCTCTCAGGTAGCGCACAACTTCTTTATAGCTGGGCAGGGAAAAAAAAAAAAAAAGAGGGTGAGTAGGAAGAGGCAGAAAGTGCAAAGCTACCTACAGGTCAATCAAACGCTGATCACAGCTAGTGAAGTGGAACAGTAGATCTTCCCACACAAAAGATGTTGCACAATAGGACAGAAATACTGGCAGAAAGAGGCAGTTGGAAATCAGTTCCAAGATGCTACCCGCGGATTATCTCTGTACTTCGGCAAAATAAAACAGGAGGCTGCCTTCCAGTTTGAGTGGACTCTTTTGAATACAGACTTCAGAAGGCCCAGAGACCAGAAGGCGCTTTTTTTGCTGTCTTCCACCTCATCAGCCTTTAACGAACAGAATTTGTTCTCAACATACACATCTAAAACCTACTGGGGTCATGGAAACAAAGAAATGATGCACGTCAACATTCTTTTCTGGTCCTGAAGTGTTACAAGGGCTTGATTCTGCTCTGAAAAACTTCAGAAAGCTACTGGCCTCGGTCAGAAGCAACGGGCACAGCCGGGTTCAAGTGTGTCTTCGTTCTGTGTGTTGCCCCTTTACACAAACTGCACGTGTCAGGAAAACCCTACACGGCAGTCAGGACTACCCCAGTGTCAGAGCTGAGTTCAGAGAATGAAAAATCCAAATCCCAACCCGATCTTACTTCTTTTTGTCTACCAATTTCTCCACTCGAGCCTCTATAACAGGGAGCGCTTCCCACAGAAACACTTTTCTTCCTTTCCGTGTTCTTTGACCGGTGATGTTCTGGCCTTTTAAAACCGTGGTCAGTAATACATGGTCCCACGGCACAACATTCAAGCTGGAAGTACAAAAACAAAGTCACTTTTAACCACGTTTTTGTTTGTACACCATAATTTATTTCTCTTAAGTAACAGGAAGATTTACCAGTAAAACAGTGGGGTTTACAGCTTATTTCTGGGGGGAAAAATACAGGAGAAGAAAGAAAAAAAAAAAAGCTGTGAGGACACCAGCTTAGCCATAGCATCAAACAACAACTCCTCCTGTAAGGACAGGTCAAATGCAAAGCAGATAATACTGAAATCTTCCTATAAAATGCTCCACCTAACGCTATCAGTGCAAGAACCGTTCTATGTGGCTGTTTTTGAACCGGGCAACTGTATAAAAAATACGTTCTGCAGACAAAACCCAAAGAACATACCTATTTGAGAAGCCAAAACAGTGGCATGGAAGTGAGATGGACTGAAAGAAATTAATAAACTTTTCATACAAAGTTTTTGGAAAGTCGTACCACACCAGCATCCTCTGAAGATGCGTCGTGATCCTACGTTTTGAAAAGAAAAAGAAAAAAAAAAAGAAAAATCAAAATCTCTTAAAATAGGATGAATTACTGTTAAGATGTTGTGGTTTCTTTAATCCTACAGGAAACTACAGAAGTTTGAGGGTTGGGGTTTTTTTTGGTTAAATGCCAGACAGACAGTTTGGATGTCTATTTAGATTTGTGCTTCAAGATCTGTAATGAATAACAGTGTTGCTCTTTTGTTATTATTTTTAACCACCACTGAAACCAAGGCTCTGGGGTCTTAAGTTTTAAACCAAAGATCCTCAGTGAGCACATGTGAGAAAACCTGCAGAAGCACACGATGAGCCCGATATGCAACCTGATCAACCTGAGGTCCTGGCTGCTTCATCGCCAGTGAAACCATTGTTGTCTTAATTGGAGATAACTGACTGACACAAAGAAGTTTACTCCTTTAAAATTGGAGGAGGGAGGCAAAAAATTTCCTTTTTTTTTTTTTAAAGAAAGAAATTAAAAAATTCAAGAATAGGAATTTAAAATGAAAACTGACATAGGATTTAGGTTATACCCACCATTAGTTTCAAGTAAGGGGTGAGAATATATAATTGTTTTTGAGTGCTCCTGGAAAAAAAGTTAATTCTTAATTCATTAACCTTCTGTTGCAAGTGAATTTCGGGTTAAAGGTGAAATACAAAGCTAAAATGAGAAATGAATTAAGCCAAGCGAGCTAGATGTCCTCATTCATCAGCCTCTGGGGGAACCTCACTATGTTACATCCCCGACTACTCCCTCCCAGCGGAGTACCACGGGGCTGCTGGGCTGATCTTTAACAGAGGCTGTTTACTCTTTGGCTTGCTGACCACAAGCAGCTCCCTGACCCCACCTCCTGGTCTGGCCTTGGAGAACACTCCGAGGCTACAGTCAGAAAGTAATCCATGGCCTTGGCTTTGGGTTCCGCACGAACTTATCCTCCTTCGAGGAAGGGTTTGAACGTTTATGTGGCTCTAAATAAGGCAGGTATTGCCCTTGTCCTTCACAGCAAGGAGCTAGTATTCAACAGAGCTTCTAAAAACACCAGCTTGTAGAGCACACCAGCAGGACCTGGGACCCGACAGCACACTGAGGGCCCTGCTCATGAGGCCGACCAGCCCGTGCCATCGTTTGTGTTCTCCTGCCTGCCCCTGCTCACCTGCAGCCCACAGGCAGGCAGCAGCAGGCTGCTCCTGCTCTGCCCAAACACCACCTCAGACAGCACAGGGGGGCTGTGCTCCCCGATGCTACAGAGCCACAAGATTATACACCTCGGCAAGTTTACTTTTGGCTTTTAGGAGCCGAAGCTTTCACTTGTTTTTTTTCTTTAGGCCTTTGAACAGAAGCGATTTGAAACGCATTTTAAACGTGAGCAGAAAGTGCGTAGCCAGCAACCACGCCATTGCCACCCCATCGTACGAGAAGAGAAGCCTTACCTTTGCAGCAGACAAGGGACAGCGATCTTTAGCGAAGCAGTATGGCCAAGGTTCTGCCAGCTCCTAAGAGAGGAGGCAAAAAGCACTAATTAGCATTGGGTTTGTTTTCCCGCCTTTTCCCCTTCTCTGTACTCAACTGTTTAAGAAAACACTTTTTTCTTAAAAAGTACTGGGAGCTACTGTGCTAATAAAAATTACTCCAAACAGATAAAACAAGTGCTCAAGGTGTAAAACACATTCTAGAACAAATATTATTTCACTAACCAAGTGAAGCCTACCTCCCCCACTCAGGCACTCTCCACCCCGAAAAGCTCCCCTGCCCCTGTGCCTCCTCCTGGGGGATTGGCCCCACCTGCCATCACCTCCAGTCTGACACCCTCCCTCCTCCCAGTTCCCACCTCCAATTCCTTCCCCTGGTTGGAGATCATCTCCCCTCCTCATGACTCAATCCCACTTAACTTCTTCCTCTCCCATCCAACCTTTTACCTTCTCTTTTTTCCCCCCAAATCCCTCCCCGTAGCCACTCTCGTTTCTCCCTCAGGTGTACTCCTGCTCCTCGCTGGGCTGCAGCCAGGGCTGTGACCTTTACGCTGCCCTTACTTTCACTAAACAGCAAGCAGAACCCTCTCTCTCAGGCCCTGCCCTCTGAGAAGCCAGTGAAGATCCCACACTAGAGTGGAACCGCGTACTTACAGAGCAGGGTCTTTATGAAACGCTATCTCCTTAGCTGCTCCCAGAAACATGACAGCAGCAGCTTTAGGATTCTCTTTTTCTGCCTGATCTAAAAATCTTGTGACCAGCGCAAACACTCCAGAATACCTAAGAAAGTCAAGAAGTCTGTAAGATAAAGCAATTGCAACGATGTGCTTCATGAACAAGTGGCAATTATGACCATTCTACGGTTTGAGAGCGAATTGACTTGCCTTTCCTTGAAAAGGACCTGTTACATAGCGAAAAGGTATTTGCACGGCCACTGCTTTAAGCATTTTAAAGGCACGTACCATCAAGTAAAAGCCGAACCCCATCCTAAAAAACAAATTAGTAAAAATACAGGCTTTACTTTCAGGCTTTCCCAGGTTATAACAATGAGGGATATTACCCAGTGTCCTAGTGCAGTACAAGAGATGTATTTAAAGTTGTATTTAAGATATATTTAAGGGGTTGTTTAAACCACACCCAAGGGCAATTTCACAGCTCACTGGCCAAGCAAATTCTCTCAACTATGTTTCCGCTGCCTCAGGTGCCACGATGCTGATTATCACTCGACTAAAGGACATCAAACCCGCACTGCCCAGCACGTACCGCTAGCAGCAGAGTTCAGTTGTCACTCACTTGTATACAACCTCCATGTTGCGTGTCCTGCAGGTATTGCACTGCCCAGGAGGCAATTTTGGGAGGCAAAAGCATTCATGTTGTGCGGGAGGCATTCTTTCTCCAACCAGATACTTGTTATATTCCACAGAAAGTTCCTGCATAAATTTTATGAGAAGACTTCCTAAGAGAGCAGATGGATGTGAAACTGTTAGTGCCATTTCTGATTTTCCCAGAACTAAAAGAAACAGAAAGACAATCACAAGTGCCCCACGTGAAGTATTTAGCAAGTTACTCGCACCCAGTCTTACTGGCCAGGAATCCCAGGCTCTTTTTCCGGAGCGAGGGAAGCAGGGCAGCACACAAACGGGACCTGCAGACCTGTGTCTGGTCTGAGCACGGCCCAGGAAGAGCGCAGCAACAGGCAGCTGCTACCTTAAAAATTCACCAAGCCTGCACAAGGATTGCTGTGGGCCCGACAAGCCGTCCATCAAGCCACAGAGTCAGCAGCCCTGGTGAGCCACAGGGCTCAGGACAGCGCGAGAGCACAACGCTTACCGCCGTGCCGCAGGTCCGCGTCGATATCTGTGAGCTCCAAGTTGAACATCACGAGAACACCAGCCAAGGAGAAGTCACGCTGGTCCTTCCAGAACTTGCTTTTGTTGTGGGCATTGCAGTGGCAGAGGGAAGGGGTGGTCCAGTTCGGGCACTGTTTCAGAAAACATGAAAACCAGGGACAGTTTGTTGTTCTGGGGGTTTGGGTTTTTTCCCCTCTCCGGTTGAGCAAATCAAAAGTCAGTTCCTCTCTCCGAGAAAAGGACTACAATTCATTTCATCCTCTACACAGCCAAAGCCCCAGTGAAGTATTTTGACAGTCAGGGCAAGAGGTCAATATGGCAATACCTTGATACTATGGCTTAAAAAGAAAAAAACCACCCCAAACCCACAGTACTTTACCCTCATTCCCAAATATCTCACCGAGACACTTCGGGCTGGCACCCTCCCCGCTGTAAATGAGTAACAGAGCACTGTCTCTGCATGGTCACCCCAACTTTGTTCACAGTTCAAAGTTTCTGTAATTCTAAGAAAAACCCAAACAAACTCCACACACTCAGCGCTTCCCCCCTGCTCCTTCGGGTAGGAAAACCGAAAAGTTTCTCATTTGCCTACTGCAGGGAGCAGCAGTCCGGTTTGGTAAGCTGAGTCCACGAAGCACACTGTGTGCCTAAGGCAAAGAGGAGGCACCTCTGCTTAAACCAAGTGTCTATTCCAACCACCGGCTGTGCCATCAGGAATAAACCCAGTGACTAAACATTTAGTAGCACTGGTAAGTGGACAGATATCAACTTTTAGGAGAGGAACTGTTAAAATAATCAAATTTCACGTATCATTTGTTCTTTTAGCGTGCTTAAGAGCGATTTCTTTTAAAAAGACGTAGAGTTAGTTTACTCAAAGTTGTGCATTTCTTGATGACAGCTCCGCTTACCTCAGACGCCAGCTTGTCGCAGATATAGCAGTAGCACTGATTACAAATATCAGCATTTTTTCCAAGGGGCGAGCACGTATCGCATTCTGTTCGCCTGGAGTCGAAAAACAGAATGTTATTTATGAAACAAGCCACGTGCTTATCCAACTGTACTTCTGCTTCAGCTGTTAAGGGGTTAACAAGGTCACTTGACAAGATGGACTAAACGTGGAGAACGAAACCCCCGCATTAACCTCCACATCACCGAACGTACTCAAAGGGGTGCGTTGTACAGTCGTATCTCGCGTGAGGCATCACTTTTGCTTGTTTACAGAAAGTAACCATTAGCTCACATTCCTCATCCACAACTTCTTCAGATTTCTTCTCTTCCAGGGCAGACTGCTCTGTAGGAAAGAGAAGATGTGGTGTAAATCAGTGTAAAGGTAACTCTAACTTCATTAGAAATTCAACCAGCCACTGACATTTACTTTTTAAAATCACTTCAAGGCACGTATTTCCTTATGACTTCATATGGTGCCAATAAGAATGGTGTGCTGGCCTGGGACAACACACTTCCACACACTATCAAAACAGAGGTAATTTAACCAGAAAGGATCCAATCGACACTGAAAAGGCCCAGTCTCAGGTAGGTTTATAATATTTTGAAACTATCCTTTCAGGTAATTAGTGCCATGAAAGAAATCCCCAAAGTTACAAAATAACAGCAGTTCCTCCCAGTTTCATTTATTTTCGAAGTACTTTTGTTTTCCTAGCAGCACAAAGACCCATTTTAAGCATATCACAACATTTTACTTCAGTTTGCTCCAAAAGTTCTTTACGGAACACCACCAGCCACCAGAGCACGGTACTCACCTGCCGGGTCTGCCAACAGAACCGAACTCCCATCCGTGCTCTCAGCTTCATCATCGCTGATCAGGATTATGCTCTGAGCTTCCTCTTCTCTCTTCAATGGCCCCATGGTTATCAGGCTCTGATGGAAAGGAACTATTTGGCAGCAAATAGAACACAAGGATTGTTCCTTTCCTCAGGAAGCAAAAAAAAAAAAAAACAAAACCCAAAACAAACTTCTCCAAGACCCAAAGTCTTCACCTGTGTTGAGCAAGTTACATTAGGGACAGAAACATTCAACCTTTACTGCAGTCAGCAGCTTGAAAAACATGGTAGTTTCCATCCAGAGCCGAGAGAACCCTAGAAACAAAGAAATGGGGGAAAAGAAAAAAAGAAAAAGACCCCAAAAACATAAGATGTGCCGTTCCCTCGGTGGGTTTGATGGACCTGCCTTTGAAAGAACTACCCAGCGACAACAACCATCATTGCTCACGACAACCGAACCGTCCCAGCGGGGCCCAGCGCAGACCCGCCCGCTCCCTCCCCTCACGCTCCCAATCCCCCAGCCTCCAAAAAGCGCACGTCCACCTCCCCCACCCCCCCT